AGGTATGAGTATAATAATGATTCTAACATAACACTAAGCCAAACACCAAAAAAAAACCAATTACATATGTGTATGTACAACCATACACACATACATATATATATATAATATACATATTTATAAATTCAATATATATATATTATTTCATTTCCACTTAGTTTGTTGAAGTATTAAAATAACTCAAATTAAATAAAACTAAAACTTAATAAAAGACCTATACAGACATAATAAATTCAGACATAATTTAACTAAAATTAAAATAAATAACAAATACAAATAATACAAATCAAATGACCGTAGTTTCAGTAATCCTAAAAAATAACACTGCCAAACTTACATGCTAAAAAAACATCAACTTACTTACACATAGTAAGAAATGGTTATAAAAACTGAAACAGAAGCGAAACAAGTAGTAGGAAAGAGGAGAAATAAAAAGCGATACTTATTTTTATGTATTTAGATTATTATTTATATATTTATAGAATTTTATTTTTAAACGCAACTAAATGAGGAAAGACTAAGTGAAAATAAAAAGCCACAACCGTAATGAAAAAAACAAACAATTTATGATTAAAAAAAACCACTCAAATTTATTTAAAAAAAGTTAATTATACAAGGAGATTATTGCCCTTTTCAGTAAGTTGTAGATCTGTTACATATTAAGTCTGAACGATTTCTCTGAAAACATTACTGGTGACTCTTTTACAATTTCTAAATTGACCGTGGAAAAACTAACTTGACATGCTCTGAATTAGGGTGTGTTTTCGAAGTAAAACATGAGGTCATGCATTTTATTGACAGAGAAACCACAAGATATAGTCTTTTTTCCCATTTAACAATTGACAGATTAAAACGGTTATGTGACGTCTAAATTGAGCTCAATGTCACGTCTATCAATCCATACAACAAGTAACAAGTACAGAAATAAAATAGTAAAAATGACTTTGACATTGTCAATGTTTTAGGCACTCTCTGTGTTTTAGTCATCAACAGACTGAATAATGAATTGAAAGCCTCATGCTGCAGTTTTTCCTTCGAGTTGTCGTATATCTTTGCTCTGTTATTAACTGGTTATGTCTGTTCACGTTGCCAGGTCCAGCAGTAGCCTGCAGCAGACGCCAGTCCACAGAGCGCCGCACACCATGTCCACATTCCTGATTGCACATGATATCTCGTCTGAGCTTGAATCCACACCCTCGTACTGTCCGCTCAAACCTGGGGGCTGTGGATATTTGAGCTGTTGTTTTTATTATTTTCCTAATTAATATTGTTTACATAATATTGTTGATGATGGTTTTTGGGACCTCAATAAAAATGTTCAATAAAAAAGGTTTCTGTTCCTTTTATTCATGTTGTAGTTACTGTGTAGTATTATTGTAGACGAGTTTGATTCTTCATCAGAACAGATTCGGAGAAATGTAGCATCACTTGCTCACTAGTCTCGCGTAGCCAGACCTTCAGACTGACGGCTGAAGGTCTGGAATCCATGGCAGCTTTCACTGGCCAAGGCCCGCCCATGAGACATGTCAAACAACCAATCACAGTTCGTTTCATTCATCGTCACGTTTCGGGGCGTAGAAATGTCGCCACAATAACAGACTGGTGTGTAAAACTCTCAGACGTATTTTAAAGATTCTATGCCACGAACTTTACATTTTTCACATACTTTTGAAAATCCAGTGTTTAGTTGATCCTGATAAGCGCTCGTCGTCACAGTTGTAAACACGACGACTTTCTTCTTTCGTGAGGGGGTTTGGCGTCACGGCATCTTTGTTTCCAGGCGGAACGTTAAAGAACGCGACCACGCACGTCTCCCGGAAATCCTGTATAATTCAACCAATCCGATGACGGCTTCGAAACTCCTGAAGTGTTTCCACTTTTGTGTGCCATATGCATCAGACGTTTAGCCAACATTCCGTGGGCGTGACGTCTGAGGCTGAGACTACTTGCTCACCAATGGATCCTCTGCAGTCAATGGGTGCCGTCAGAATGAGAGTCCAAACAGCTGATTCAAAAACAACGGTGTTTGATCTGTGCATGTTTCTCTCCTGATTCAGACAAGATGACTTCTTCATTGGAGGAAGCATAATTATGGATAGTGGAGTCATATTTGAGCTGAAAGTGACAATTTGAAGTTAAAATAACTTAATGTTGGATTTGTTTCTTAAAAACACGCAGCTTTTCACTTCACAAGATGTTTACTGATGGACTGGACTGGTGTGGATTATTGCGATGTTTTTATCAGCTGTTTGGACTCATTCTGACGGCACCCATTTACTGCAGAGGATCCATTGGTGAGCAAGTGAAACGAAAGATGTCGTATTTATTTATCTTTCTCTGCGACACTTTTCCTACTGTGTTAACAGAAAAATGTGAATGAAAAACAAAGTGAATATATAGCGGGAGCGGAATATAACCTTGCGGGACTTAAAAAACCAGTCCCGCGCAGACCTCTACACCCATTCACTGCAGAGGATCCATTGGTGAGCAAGCGATGTAATGCTACATTTCTCCAAATCTGTTCTGAAGAAGAAACTACAAATTGCACATGAGAGCTGATAAAGGATTTTATTAAATTGCTAGTTTCAGCAGTTTGATGCATCTGCATTCACTGACACAAATTTCAAAAGAAAGTTTCATTTCTATTCAAATTCACTTCACCATCTTGCAGTTACAATATCAACATGTCTCCGTAATCCTGAATCTCCTACTGATCTTCTAATTCATAAAATGTGATAATGTAAAATGTGAGATCTGCAGCTATTTCAATTCATCTGAAAATAGCCTCTTCTTCAAAAACGCATTTGACTAAGAAATGTTTTAAATCTGTGCCATTTAATCTTCACCATCCCTATCCACCTTGACATCAGTCCAAATCCATGGACCTCCAAAACCCTCTTCTTCAAAAACGCATTTGACTAAGAAATGTTTTAAATCTGTGCCATTTAATCTTCACCATTCCTATCCACCTTGACATCAGTCCAAATCCATGGACCTCCAAAACCCCTCAAACTGATTCTGAAAACATCAACACAATCCAATCTCAGAGTCACTCCTCTGGACTGGTGGCCTCGCCCTCATCATCCTCATCCTCTCCTCCAGAGATGTTCTGATTCATGCGGGACAGCAGCGGAGGAAGATTTATTAGACTGGTGTTTTCCTCTTCATCATCATCATCATCATCATCTTTAGGAGGGTAGAAGTGACGAGCCTTAGCCACAAAATCCTCAGCAGCGTCCAGATAAATCAGCCGGTCCTGAGCCAAACATAAATATTAGAGGTCAAAGTGAGGTAGGAGAAGTCTGTCTATCTCAAGCATGTTTTTAGATGAGATATATACATTTTTTTTTATTAAATCTTCTCACCGCCGACCTAATATTTTAAAATATGCAAGTAATTCATCATTATATCAAATGTGCACACCAGTGTTATTTTAGAATCACTGAGACATTATTCTAGTTTTCCACATTTTAAATCCGTTTAAATTTTTATTGAGTTTAACTTTAGTTAAATTAATTTTGTCATTTTTATTCGTTTTTGTTTAATGTCTATATAGTTTTTATTGGCATTTCAGTTTTAGTTTTCGTTATATTAATTCAAGTAACACATTTTAAATCCGTTTAAATTTTTATTGAGTTTAACTTTAGTTAAATTAATTGTTTTGTCATTTTTATTAGTTTTTGTTTAATGTCTATATAGTTTTTATTGGCATTTCAGTTTTAGTTTTCGTTATATTAATTCAAGTTAACCTGAAAAATAAGAAAAGTTGCCTTGGCAACAAACTGAAATAATTTGTAGTTTTTAAATTAGATTTTTATTTCAGTTAACATTCATTTCAAGCCATGAAAATGTTTCAAGGTTTATCATTTTAGTTGTTTACATCTTCATTTATGCCCAAACCACCTCGCTTTAAATAGAAAGAAGGAGAAATACACATTTGTAGTAATATTCACTTCTGCTGTAGACTGTTTTTGATTGCTCATACTTGTCGTTTGAGATGCTCACCAGGATGAAGAGGTATCTCTCGGGTGGAGGCTCTTTGCTGCTGAATATGGACGTCTCTGTGTGGAGGGTCTGTAGCAGGCTGCGGGCGACCGCTGCGTTTCTCATGCGGTCATATGATGCGGTGGCAGACACAGTCAGCAGAGACTCGGCTTCAGCCATGAACCCTGAGAGAAGAAACCCAGCATCTCAATGACAGACTGTCCCTGAATCACTGGAACATCATCTCTGACACGTCATCTCTCACCCAGATTCTCCAGGATCATCTTCCATTTATCTCGCACCTCTCTCCTGATGTCTCTCATGGCCTCGATGTCGATGCTCAGACGCCGGTAGCCCTGCAGGACAGAAGACACGACAGGACTCAACCGAACCATCGAAACTCACGAGCTCATACCTACAAATACCTTACTTTAGTTGTACTTAACTGGGATCGATTTTAATATTGGAAAAATGACAGAAATATGAGGATTCCGATTTTTTTAATGCAACCTTTCTTGTTTATTTCTATATTTTTTTCTGTTTATACATACATACATACATACATGTGTACATAAATCATAAATACACACACACACACACACACACACACACATATATATATATATATATATATATATATATACACACACAGTATGTATGTATGTATGTATTTTTTTTGTTGCTTAATCTTTCCTCATTTAGTTGCATTTGAATCCATCTGTAATTAATTAAAAATTAAGATAATAATAATAATAATAATTATTATTGTTGTTGTTGTTAGGCTCATTGTGGGCTTATGTCACTTTTTGGGTGACTTGACCTCTATGTTTCTGTAATAAGACAAATGTGACAAATAACAGGATTATGGTTTATATTTCATTTATCTTTCCTATGTTTATTAATATATTTTGGTATTTGATATATGACTGTCCTGGAGTTGGCAAAAAGGCACTATATAAGTAAACATTAACAACAACAATGATAATAATTATATAATAATATCTAATTATAGAATAATAATTAATAATAATAACAATTATTATTATTATTATGTTGGCTACCCCCTGGCTGTATTTATAAATCATTAAAACAACAAGGTTTTATATCGCTATCTATCTATCTATCTATCTGTCTGTCTATCTATCTGTCTGTCTGTCTATCTATAGGGCTATATATGAATCCATTTGAAGAAAAAACAAAAGTTAAATAAATAAATAAGGCTCAATATGGACTTTGGTCATTTCAGACGTCTTATCTAGGTGTGATATTATTTAGCGTGCTAATCATACTGTGTAATTAGACATTAGAGCATGGCATCTGTGTTTAATTACGGCTCGTATTCAAATGCAAATGTTCTGTGCACGCCACACCTGAGAGCCTCGCTGGGTTTGGGCTCTGCTCTGCAGCAGGTTGTAGAGCGTGCGGTCGTCGTCTCTCTCGGAGTGGGAGGGGTCTCCGGGTTCGTTCCACAGGTTGGTCTCTTGGTCCCGCCTTTTTTTCGCCTCGCGATCGAAATATTCCAACGTGTCGTGACTGACACAAACACAAACACAAACAAAATGTAAAAATACTGTCACCATACGAGGACGTCGAGCCTTGAAACTGCCACGAAAAACAGTGTAAAAATCTGAATTAGTGTGTTTGATATTACTTTGTAATTAGCAGTCAAACCGTTCCTTAAAAAAAAAAAAAATTATATATATTTTTTTCCTGTCAGGCAGCGAAAATATTGGTCGGACCAAAGGAAAAGCAGAAGTACGTTGGACTGTGAGTTATGAATTAAATATGTATGAATTTATTTCCACATGTTGTAATAGAGTTGAAGAGTTAGTAGCTGTTGAAACGTGTAGTATGTAAGTTAATACTTGTAGCTTAGTTTGAACCAAAGTAGCTAACGTAATTTGCTAAAATTGTCCTGTAAAAATAATATGAAAGAAAGCAGAAACTCAACCTATCAATAGTCAGACATGATTTAAAAACAAACCAACCCCACATCCCCTAAGTAATACCTAAGTAAATGTCTCTTTTCGTCCTCCTCATTATCATCCTCACAGCAGCAGCAACAGCAGAATCTTATACAGAACTTCTTGAAGGCGGCATCCACAGGTTGGTCTCTTGGTCCCGCCTTTTTTTCGCCTCGCGATCGAAATATTCCAACGTGTCGTGACTGACACAAACACAAACACAAACAAAATGTAAAAATACTGTCACCATACGAGGACGTCGAGCCTTGAAACTGCCACGAAAAACAGTGTAAAAATCTGAATTAGTGTGTTTGATATTACTTTGTAATTAGCAGTCAAACCGTTCCTTAAAAAAAAAAAAAATTATATATATTTTTTTCCTGTCAGGCAGCGAAAATATTGGTCGGACCAAAGGAAAAGCAGAAGTACGTTGGACTGTGAGTTATGAATTAAATATGTATGAATTTATTTCCACATGTTGTAATAGAGTTGAAGAGTTAGTAGCTGTTGAAACGTGTAGTATGTAAGTTAATACTTGTAGCTTAGTTTGAACCAAAGTAGCTAACGTAATTTGCTAAAATTGTCCTGTAAAAATAATATGAAAGAAAGCAGAAACTCAACCTATCAATAGTCAGACATGATTTAAAAACAAACCAACCCCACATCCCCTAAGTAATACCTAAGTAAATGTCTCTTTTCGTCCTCCTCATTATCATCCTCACAGCAGCAGCAACAGCAGAATCTTATACAGAACTTCTTGAAGGCGGCACCCATCCTCAAAATACAAAACTAGAAGATGGAGAGAAAAAAAGTCTAAGTTCACAAGACGAGTGTTAAAAAGCACATCTGCCTCTCCAAGAGACTAAAGGTGAGATTTCTGAAGAAGATGAACATAAAACAAACAAACAAAAAATATTGCCTTTGTTCAAGCTGTCACAGTCATATGTGGTTCTGCAGGTATTTTTTTTAGAAGAAAATAGTGTAATGTATTGCTTTGTTGTAACTTACCCCAGAAACTTCTGGCGAAATGCTGAATCCATCAATTCAGGTCTAAACACAGTTTTTCGTATTCAGAAGTGAAGCATCTTTCGGGGCCCAGAGAGCGACTAAAACATTTCAGCCTCTCTCTAGAATGAATAACATCACAGTTTAGTCATGAGTCTGAGCCGCGTAACCTGAGGCCATCACAGACCTCGAAATAAAGCCACTCGTCCTACAGCCCCAAAACACAAATGTGCTTTTACCTCTGAATGTTTTCAACAGTCGGTTTCGCGTTGCGTATCCAGAACTTCATGCGATTTTAAACGGTTATAGTGAAAATGAAGCAGGTTTGAAGTGAAAAGACTGAGTGATTACATAACACTGTTGCTTCATATTATTATGAAAACCAATAATCCTAAACCTCTTGCTCTCATTTCATGGAAAACCTCATGTGCTCCCTGGCAAAATAATCAAACCAATAAATACCAGATTTGAGAAGCATATAACAGCAGATCAGTGTTATTTTAGTAGTATTATTTATAAAAACTGTTACAGTTATTATTAATATTTCATTTTAGCATTTATTTGTATGTTTTCAGTTTTCATTTAGTAATTGTATGCATTTTGTATTAGTTATGTTTAATAATATTTTGGTTTAATTTATTATTATTATTTTTATATTTCCAGTTAATATTTTCAGTGCTATAACGTAAAATTATTTCATTTGTAATTTTTTTAGTTTAGGTTTTTCGTCTAATATTAATATATTATTTTTTCATATGTTCAGCAAGTGAAATCCAGAGGTAGTGTAACATTTTGTCAGATTGATGTCTCTTCTGAAATACAAGACAAATACTAAATGCACAGATTTTCTCTTTTTTCTTCTTCCTTTTTTACCTATTTTTTTTGCCAGCTGTCAAGTATTATAAGAATAAGAATTTCTGTCTGAAGTTTGTAGTGACAAAAACCCAGAATTAAACACATGCATTTTGCTTTGCATATATAAGATGTGTAATTTAATTTTACAGTCCTTAAGGAGTAACAAACCTCACATCTACTGCATCATTTTGGTTTGATCAATGTGGCTGAAAGTTTGAAAGTAAGACAAACCTGCAAATGTGTACAAAGATCACTGATAATGTAACTGAACATTAATATATGAACCAGCAAAATTCCAAGCATCTGAATTTATATGAGAAAGAAAGAGAAGTGTTTGATGTGTGATACTCATGTGAGAGTCTCATAGGCTGTGTCCCATCACATGGCGGGCTGAGCACAGCGTACTCTGCCAGAGGCTTTTCACTTAAGAAACATAATACAAATAATCCTCGTGATCATGTCAGGATGTTTTTAAAGAAAGAGAAGGGGAAAAGAGCAGATATGTTTACTACATTATTATAGATATCTATAACAAAAAAAGTATTTGGACACAAAGCTACACTTTTAAATGTCTGAATGTCATTGCATTAGATAAAATATTAAACCAGTTTATATCAACTAAAGATAATGTTCAAGCAAAACATTTCACGATATTTTTTATTTTTAGGTTTGATATAACACCAGATATATGTTTTCAATAAAAACACAAGTCTTTCTAGTTGTCATTTCAGTTCATATCATGGGTTAAAGTGAAATTATATTAATATATATTTGAGAATGTTTTTTTGGTTTTTTTTTCCTGACACTTATTGCAATGTAAATATATTTTCTGGTGTATCTGATTCTATTAAAAATGCTTGGCTTTGTTTTTTTTGCCATCAAAACAAATACAAAATATTCATGTATTATATTTTAATGCCATTTCAGACTTTCAAAAGTGTTGTTTAAGTGTTTATTCACTTTTGGGGGTCAATGTTTAATTAACTATAAATCTGAAACAGGAAAAACATCCAGTATAAACTGTTAGTTTTATTAAATGTTGATTCTTCATTAAAAAAAAAAAAAAAATCATGATTTTTTTTTTGAGTAACATGCCAAAATTCTGTATAGCTTCATATTACTGTAAATCAGTATAAAAATATCATTTACACAGAGCTTGAATCATGAGTGAAGTGAACTGCAAAAGGCTCTGCACAAACAAATGTGGTTACAGTCCATAGAGGCCAAAAAAGGTGTTCAGATACAAAATACATCTAAATAATGAAAGCAACTTGTGATTTCAGTGAGGGAAACTGTAACAAAGGCACACAAGTACAAGCCAAGAAGGCTGCAAAACAAAGTACAGAACATGACTGTTTAAAAAGATCAACATCATTCATGCTATCACTGATAAACCAACTACAACATGTGCCTTCCCTTAAAAGAAAGCCCAATGTTTCCTCTCTGTTAAAACCAATAAGTATTTTGCTTGCTTCAAGGCAACTAATGTAAGACACATTCGCATTTCTATTAGAGAGAATACTAATCAAACAACCGGTGACTATGCCTTAGTTTCCTGTTTATAAATCGCTATGCCCTGTATGAATGTGGTAAACGTGAGTGCATAACAAAAAAACTTTTGACAGTAATACTCTGTGAGAAAACAAACTGACATGCAATAAAGAAAGAAGAGAAAAAGAATGCACACATTTTAACACAAGGCCCATTTCAGATGGATTTTGAGCTGCTTTGAACCAGTTCTTACAGAATAAAACCAAGTGCAAATGTTTGCTTTTTTGTTGCATCATGTTTTATACAAGTAACTTGGGTCCTAGTTAACTGGTTATGCTGATTTAAGATGTAACTGTATAATCAAAATCTTAACCGTTTACATTATTAAACAAATGATCATACACATGGCAGGATGCTGATCTATGCTACAGATGAATGCATTTACTTTTAATAATCTAATACAGCAATGTTTGGCCACAAGAGCCAAACCATAATAAGAACTAAAACAATAATTATAATTAGTATGAATGTGTGTGCATGTTCAATTAAGGCATAAGTAAAAGCAGCAAGGGAAAGCACAGCGTATTTGGCTCAGAATAAAGAAACCATCCTAGCCTTCAGTCCTGTTCACTATAGGGACAACAGTGGTTTTAGGCCTAATCCATTTCCCCTGATCTCTTATACACCATAAGCTGCTCTCTGATAACTTCCTGTTCATGTTTCCAGCTCTTGTGGGGTTTGACAGTATGAGTTATGACCTCATGTCCATGTGCTGCAGTAGTACATCTATATAAATTTTAACTTAAGTGTAAAGTGCAGCCAAACGTTCAGCCGAAGTTTCCTAGGCGCAGACAGCCGTAACAACCTCCCGCCAGTCAAACGCAATGCTGTATCTCATCATGGCAGTTGTGGTTTGAATATGGCACAGTGTAATTTGAAGTTACCACGATGTAAACTGTGGCTGGATAAAGAGTCGAAGCCAGAGATCACCGGTAGGAGACGTAGACTTCATTTATACGCTGCCTGAGATGAGACATGAACTCGAACATGGTGGCGGCCAGTGACTGGTGGATGAGGTAACGTGGGAGGTGACCCTGTTTGAAGAAAATTAAGTAACAAAAAAAATAAAATATATTTATATATTATACAAAATATATTCATATTAAAAAATGTATTATTATTTCATTACATATTTTGAAAATGAGAAGTCTGCGCACAAATTACTGCTCTATGGTTGAAAAGGTAGTCAGTTGCTAGGGTGTTTTGGTAAATTTGCAGATTTTCAACCAGATAATATCAGTAGTATAAGTACATGAACAATGTGAATTTTTAACTGCGTCAAGAGACCCTCTATTATTAACAACGTAAAACGCGTCATCTGGCAAACTTTTGACAGCTCCAAGGCTTTTGTGAAAACTTCAGGTCATATTTCTGCATTTTTGTATTCCCACTAAGGTTGTGACGGTGAGAACATTTTCCCACTGGTTAATCGACGTGTGACAACACCGATAATACCGGTATCACCGTGGGGGCAGGGGCGT